AACAAACACTAGCTTTCTATTTTTTCTATTCTATCTACTTGTTTTTCTTTGTGTGTGTGTGTGTGTATGTGTGTATGTATGTGTGTGTGTGTGTATAATATATGTATGTGTGTGTGTGTATATATATATATATACAGTATATGTATATATGTGTATGTGTATGTGTGTGTATGTATATATATAATGCAGTGCGATAAAATAGCTTCTCTTCCCTGCAAACGATACAATGAAGAATGAATGGTTGTTTAACTTAAAGGCAAAAACAAAAGATAAGCATTTATTATTAATGAGAAGTAACCATGGGAACGGATAGCGTATCCTGCTGATATGGCGGCGCCTTCCCGAAATGCAATGCGGAGTGAAAAGTTCGTGACGTAACTCCTCATTCTCCTCAGTGTTATCAGTAAAACAGTAACTGTAGTCTGATTCCGAGTATTTTAAAATGTAATCTAATTACTTCCAGAGTAAGTTATAAATACACAGACATACAGATATAAATTCAGATAGTCTGAATAAACATTTTCTTGGATGGTGTTTAAAAATGTGAATAATATGTACCAAAATATAACTTTATTATATTAATAAACACGTAGGCTTCACATCCCAAACTGCCATACCTCGAAGTCTCGCTGTGCGTCATGTCACGCCTATCCGACAGATGGCGGTAGAGCATAACTAGCAGTATCCTGTCGCATTTGATTCTCGAACAAGAGCTGAACAGTTTAGCTCCTGAGAAGTTGTTCATTATCACGTGGGTTTAGTAAAAATGCCCGTTGATACTAAACGTATCCGTGGACCGGAGGAGTCGCAGTCCCCACTGCTCTTTCTTTCCCCAGGCAAAGTTCCCGAGGCCAGCAGCAGGCAAGGCGTCCGGGGGAATGGAGACGTGCGGCCAGTGTTTGCGCGCTGCGGGCTGATCAGCCAGGCAAAGGGCTCCGCGTACCTCGAGGCTGGGAACACCAAGATTATATGCTCGGTGTACGGACCGAGAGAAGCTGAACGCAAGGACGAAAGCGATATGAAAACCGGTCGCCTTGTTTGCGACTTCAGGCTCGCGCCTTTTTCATGTATGAAACGGGGTGCCTGGATCCAAGGCAGTGAGGAAAGAGATCTGTCCCAGACTCTACTGGAGAGCTTGCAGCCAGGAGTTTGCCTACACAGATACCCGCGCTCTCAGATTGAGGTTAATGTCATGGTTCTGGAGAATGACGGCTCGATACTGGCCCATGCGGTGACATGCGCTTCTATGGCCCTGGCGGATGGCGGTATTGAAATGTTTGATGTGGTGTTGGGTTGTACGCTGCGGCAGAATGGAAGCACGTGTCTCGTTGACCCATCATTCTCGGGGGAATATGGGAGCTGGCAGGAGGGCTACGGGGAGGACCAGGGGTGTGTCACCGTGGCTCTGCTTCCCAATCTGAATCAAGTGTCTGGTCTTACTGCGGACGGAGAGATGCGGGAAGACATACTGGCCGATGCTGTGAGAAGCTGCATGGACGGCTGTCACAAACTCTATCCGGTGCTACTGCAAGCTCTGACGCGGGCTGTGAAGAAAAAAGCTCCTCCACCAGAGAACTAGACTTTTACTGGCCGCGGTCCTAAAGTTGTGTTTTGAGGAAAATAAAACTAAAAGTGAATATATTGTTTATGTGCATTGCTTATCATACTGTCTACACTTAAAAGTGCAACAATGCAGTACAAATGAAATAAACTTATCTGCAGTTGCAAATATATTTTCTTTTATTTCTTCATTCCACAAGTGTTGCTGGTTTTGTATGCAGTAAGTATATAAATCCCTGATTGACACACAAATGTGACAATTCATTTTGACTGTGTAATGAACTAATTAAAAAAAGGGGGCAAGAGTAAAAGTACGAATACAAATTAATTAAAAAAAACTGGCACTTTTGGAATGTGAATATTCAAATATTAAAGTGCTTGGATTTTTTGGTATATTTTGGCAAACAAATTACAAAACCACTTTAAAAAATAAATGACAACTAAAACCTGGCTAAATGTGTCTCATCTGTATAGTAAAACAGACCTGTTGCAAGATTGCTCAAGCAAATCATAGTGCAAATTGTAGTATATATTTGACTGACATGTCGCATAATTATGCATATATTACTATGTAATACATGTTAACTGTTTGTGTCACAGCATGCAGGGTAATGAGGTAATGAACATGGATGAGATTGTGTGTTTGATCCCTGCACTGCACTGTGTGAGGCTCAAGCACGTTTCAATATAATGTTTGTAATTTCTGAACGACTTGCAATTCTCATCGGAATGCCATAATGACTGGTTCCAGGGGTCACGTAGACCATAGTGTGTTCAGAGACACGGTAGAGTCCACAGAAAAATGGATTCATCAGGAATGCCAGGATGGTGAGGGGGAACAGCTGACCAGCATGTGTGTGACCTACACAAATGCAAAATTGAGTTCAGTAGAGGACAGAAGTTGAGCTTTAGCAGCATACTCCTAAATTTTCCCTTTACAAAACACCAAAGCATCTGAAAGACCACAATAATTTAATTGATATTTACAGACCTGAGAGTACCAGACTGATGTCTGGTCGTTGCTGGAGGGCCTGTTTGGCAGCATGAGGCTGATGTGCAAGAAGAATAATAGGGCTCTCTGCACTGCAGCCACTAAGAGCTTTCTCAACATCCATGCCATGGCCTGGGTATCTTTAACCAAAGTAACACCATGAACATAAGCCCAGTAAAGGCACACAATATGCATCAGATTTGTATGTATTCAAATGAGCCTGACAATGAGATCAATGTGGACTGACCGAAGCATGCGGGCCTCGAGGTCATCAATGCCAGCAAGGCAAATCCAGTCTTGAGTTTGTTCAGGACGGAACACTTTTGCATGGCTGTTGTGAAGAGCCTGAATCCCCATTGAGCGCAAGAGCTCAAACCAGCCTTCGACATCAGCAGTGTAGTAGTCATGATTGCCTGAAAGTCACACGAAAATGAATGTGAAGATGTGCACAAAATGTTTATTTACACCCTTTTGTCAAACAGCTAACTAAGACAGACCTGTAGCAAAATAGGAGCCCAGTCGAGCCTTCATCTGTCCCAGTGGTTCTGCAGCGCTCCTCAATCGAGTCACCCGAGAGTCAGTCAGGTCACCGACAATCACCACCACATCTACAGCAACAAACACCAGGAGTAAAATTCAATATCAAAATGAAAATTCTGGCGTCATTTGCATGTAGTTCCAAACTTGTAATACTCACTTTGTTCTGTTTAACATGAAGATATACAGATATATATATATATATATATATATATATATATATATATATATATATAAATGGATGTCAATGGGAATGGATACAGTTTGGTTACTAACATTCTTGAAAATATCTTTAGGTTCAACAAAAGAAAGGCAGTCATACAGGTTTGGTTTGGAATGACATGAGTGTTATTAAATGATGGGACAATTAACTTTTGGGTGGACTATCCCTTTAACATTTTAAAGATTATACTGATAGCATATAATCGTATAATTGTAATTACCTGGGTTCAGCTCATTCACCATATGACACAATGCGCTGCAGTTTGGAGCGGCCCACTGTAGGTCCCAGATGTATGTCGGACAGAAGCACCAACCTGAGCCCGTTCAAAGACTCAGGGAGCTTCTCTACTGGGATCTCCACTTCAATTACTCGTGGAGGCTGGGCTGCATTTAATAACCCATACACTGCCAGTATTGCTGTTACTATCATTGCCAACACTATATGACTGACTGATCCGCTCGCGACCGCATCCTCTTCTCCTCGGCTTGCGGGAGAGAAGCCTGCGGAGGCGTTTAAGGCAGCCAAAAACGAACAGGAAGAATAGTAGGATGACATAAATGCCCAAACAGGAGAAACACAGCAATGATAACCAGTGTGGCTCAGTGTCCACGAGGAAAAACATGCACAGGTAGCTCCCGTGCACCAGAGTAAGAAACAGCAGGACGAGAAGACGCCAACATCTCTGCGGGACAGAAGGTGCACCTCTGGATCCGCACAGCCGCCTCACCACGAGTTTCCATATGTAGAGAGCCGAGGAGCAGCAGGGAGTTGATGAAAAGGAGAAACTGAACGCGAAACAACGAAGCACGAGTGTTTTTGTCAACCCGCTCTGAGATTAATGTTCTGGATATAAGCATAGAGAAAAAACAACTCCCGATGCGATTCCTACTTTCCATTCGGCGGAGAGGCGCCCGAATCCAAACATACTGACCGTCATGTGCTCGGTCACTGACCCCGGCAACTATACTGCTGCGGTCATTATTATGACAGCACGGTATAATTTATAAGAGCGATAAAAGAGTTCCTCATACCTGTCTATTCACGGTCCATTCTAGAAAAAACATTTGAGTCATTCTCTTAACTCGGACATGGGAGAACAACACAAAACTACTTCCGCAGACAGAGACCTGATGGCTGCTATGATAACAACATGAAGAATACTGTTGTGGTTCGCGGTTTCGGACTAGAAATGTCATACATACTCAAGCTATATAAACGTCCACTACATACTTCGCGATCGTGTAAAACAAATTAAATATAAACACGTCAGTCATTTGACAGCGTCTCTTCTGGCCTTTCTGCGTGACAAGTGTGTGCGGTAATATCATTGGCTCGTCACATTACAGAGGCGTGGCTAATGTGACGCTCTTAATTCTGATTGGAAAGGATCTCAGTATTATTAATACATATATTTTGAGTAATATAGGCCTATTAGTTTACAACTTTTTTATGTTAAAACATTATTTCATGCCGTAGTTTGTGCTTTTGTAATCATTGTTCAGCATCTTACTTAAAACGTTATTACCTAAGAATGAGCTGTTTTATAACCAACACTCCATTTCTGTTCATTTTTATTGAAATTTTGAAGCTATTTTTTTCGTTAGGTCAAATAACTTATAAGTTTGGTAATGTGATATAACAAAACATTTTGATTTAATAATAATAATGATGATAATAATAATAATAATAAGTGATAACTTTATATATACCCAAAGTTGAATAAGTTCTTAAAGAAAAAAAATGTTGTCAGGTTGTCTTTCTTAATATCACACTTAATACTTAATACACACACCCCTGGTTTCATAAGCCTAGTCTATGACTAAAATGTAAGTCTGAGCTGTTTCAACTGAAAGAAACTTGCACTGATTGATCTTAAAATGTGTCAGTGTCCTTGTTTTGTGTCAAAATGCACACCAGTAATGTTTTTTCTAAGGTATGTTCATAAAAAATTACTAGAACTATGGTCTAATCCTGGCTTAGTCTGTGAAACCAGACCACAGTGTCAAATGTATACATGCAAAACTGCATTTACATTTTAGGAATGGGGTCATCATGAATGCTCTTGGCATCAATAAGTTTGAACCCCCCCCCCAGAAATCACACACCGTATACATTTTTGAATGTTCATAAGCAAAACACCTTGTGTCCAGGAGACAGGTCAAACTTAAAGTCTCCCTCAATCTCATTTGCTTAAGAATTGTCGCTTGACGAATTTGCATTTTGGTGGATAATAGACTTATATTGCTTGCCTGTTGAATGGCATAAAATGATATTCCGCGTTTTTAACAACGTACACGAACTGCAGAGAAATCTGGAGACAACGAAAAACGATGATCCACAGGACGCAGCAGTGTTTCTACTTTTATGCCGACCATTTACATCCAAATGTAATCTAATTTACACAGAACACAACCTATAAATAGATTTTAGAATTTAAACAGTTTATCGTCAATTCAGTAAGACTAGATAGAAAGTGTGCGCCTGCAATTGTGCATTAACTTAAGTCAAGCCCAACATGATCTTCTTTGAGATCGTTTTGACAGACATGTTATTGTGCATTTTCAACGTGTTTATTGCTAAGTTTAGCCCCACAGGCTGCTCTGTTCTTACAGTTTTGGCATTCTATTATGTTGTATCTTGTGGTGTATTTAGTGTAGGCCTACGTGAGCTATTACAGATTTTAAAGTTTACATGTATCCTGTATGGATGAGAAATAACATTAAAACTCAAAGTAGCCTACATCCTTTATTTCATCAATAATCACAACAAATGCGGGAGTACACGAAATAATTGTTTTATTATTATTGTTATTATTAATGGAGCAGTGTCACAACACATATCAGACTTTCATTTGCAGCAGTGTGTGTCGCACGATTTCTCCTTGTCCTTGCACGCGCTCTCACAGTCCTTCGTGCCCTTACTGCATTCAGATGGACAACTGCCGCAACCTACCGGGTCGAAAATGGGGAAATTATTTCATTCTGTAGAATTCTGGGTGACGTGATGTTTAATAATCCAAAGTGTTCGTTATTCGACTCACTTTTTTTGCTATGTGTGCACTTGCAGTTGGTGCATTTGCAGTTTTTCCCGCAGTTACAAGATTTAGCTACAACAGACAGATGGTCTTTTACATTTTCTGAAGCAACATGATCTTCTTTGAGATCGTTTTGACAGACATGTTATTGTGCATTTTCAACGTGTTTATTGCTAAGTTTAGCCCCACAGGCTGCTCTGTTCTTACAGTTTTGGCATTCTATTATTTTGTATCTTGTGGTATATTTAGTGTAGGCCTACGTGAGCTATTACAGATTTTAAAGTTTACATGTATCCTGTATGGATGAGAAATAACATTAAAACTCAAAGTAGCCTACATCCTTTATTTCATCAATAATCACAACAAATGCGGGAGTACACGAAATAATTGTTTTATTATTGTTGTTATTATTAATGGAGCAGTGTCACAACACATATCACAGACTTTCATTTGCAGCAGTGTGTGTCGCACGATTTCTCCTTGTCCTTGCACGCGCTCTCACAGTCCTTCGTGCCCTTACTGCATTCAGATGGACAACTGCCGCAACCTACCGGGTCGAAAATGGGGAAATTATTTCATTCTGTAGAATTCTGGGTGACGTGATGTTTAATAATCCAAAGTGTTCGTTATTCGACTCACTTTTTTTGCTATGTGTGCACTTGCAGTTGGTGCATTTGCAGTTTTTCCCGCAGTTACAAGATTTAGCTACAACAGACAGATGGTCTTTTACATTTTCTGAAGAAGCGTGCGCGAGTCACCGTATTTTCTTGCTACAATTACTTAGATTACATATGTTTGGTTTACATACTTACATTTAGAACAGCCACACGGGTCCATTTTGGCACCCTAATTCCAACAAATGTATGATGCTTTCGTGGAAAAATCTGTCTGGTAGAAATAAATGGAATCGCTCGTTCGTGCGTCACAATCACGTACGTGGGAACGTCATATGAAGTGTGTGAGCGCGCTGATGGATGAACTTGGGATCCCATTCAGTATTATGTGGGCATCAGATAAAAATAAAAGGAAAGCCAGGCATAATATAATTCTTATCTTTCACACTGATCTTATTTTATGTATTTATGTAACTACTGCAATTATATACGCAGCCCAATTCTTGATAACTGCAGTTAAACTAGACTAACCATGTTAAAGGAGGGACAAATCAGTACACAGCCAGTAGTTGGTGCTAAAGTGTTTTCTTTTTTAATGTAAACATTTCATTGGTCGGTCAGAAGACTAAACCCAGCAGTGTGAGCCAGTAGTTGGTGCTAAAGTGTTTTCTTTTTTAATGTAAACATTTCATTGGTCGGTCGTGTGCAGGAGGCCTCTGACCCCAAGGGAGGAAAAGAGGCCATTCAGTGCACCAAACAAAAAAATCCATCCACGGCAGAGAAAAAGAGGAAAAGAAACCGGGGTTAAGTAACAGGTCATGGTTGAATAAAGAGTGTGCATGCATCACACGCACACGCATCTGTACACACTCTCACACGTCATTATGTCATCAGTTAAAGAGAGTGAGTTAAAAATAAGCAATAGCTCATTCATTCAGTAATTCAGTTATATATGAATCTGAATTACTATGTTAATATTTACGCTGTACTCCATGTAAAGTCTGTAAGCTAGTTTGTTTGTATTCATCATAGCCCAACACTGATAGGGTGCACAAAGTGTAGGGCGATACAAAATATGTAAATACATGTGCTTATACAGGGCCGTCCTTAGCTGAAGCGGGGCCCCCCTCGGTCTGTTGGCAATCACGTTCCGGGGGGGTGGTCCCCCTCGGTCCGTTCGCCGCAGGGCCTGGTGCAACCGCACCAGTTGCACCCCCCTAAGGACAGCCCTGCGCTTATAGTTATATAAATAAATAAACTAGAGAATAATTTATACAGAAATGAACAACTGAAAATATTTTTAACTATTTGTGCTCATGTTGAGTGACCCAAAAAGGGGCGATCCCAGGTCTCAAAGAACTTTGGCTTAAAGAGCTGCCCCTGGACAACATTCAGTTTCTGAAATGCCATTCAGCTCTTCTAAATGATTCACCATATATCTTGCTCTTAGTCATTTAGCCTGCAAGAGTCACTGATCCTTCTGGGTTTCTGAGATCATTTTAGTGGATCATGCCAGCATTTGGAAGTCTCTTACACAGCAGAGAACCTTTGTGTGTCCTTTGTGTCACCTGACAAACACTCTCACTCGTTATGACTTCCACTCACACACATGCACTCAGGCTTAAAGCATCTATGCCCGGCCAAACACTAATTTTTACACTATACATGCACACCCATACGTTATTTACGCCAGCAATGTACTGACAAACTACAAAGGAAAATAAGGGATAACTATTCTAAACAAAAGACAAAAATTGACAGAGTGAAATGAAATAAGGGAGTGCCTTGGCCAAAGTCACAGGGGTGTCAGTTCAGTCACTTGTTACCATTTCAAACGGCAGCAAGTGGAGTTGGAGCTCAGTAGAGGCCACAACCACGCAGGTTATTGGCGATGATGATGTCAGTGACAGCATCAAAGACCACTTGAATGTTTCCTGTGTCTGTAGCGCAGGTTAGATGACAGTAGATCTCTTTATTAGGAGAGCGATTCTTACTTTCAAACTGACTCTGTATATATGCAGCCGCGGCTTCGAATGTATTTGGGCCTGCAGGAAAGATGAAGAGATGATGGACTGAGTTTTCAAGCCTTTTTTATATCTGTAAATTTCTTATATACATGTGTGCATAGCTCTTGTACCTGTGTATTCTGGGAAGCAGATATTCAATGGAGATTTCACAATCTTTTCTCCAAAAAGGTCCTTCTTATTAAGGAAAAGGATGATGGATGTGTCAGCAAAGAACTTATTGTTACATATAGAGTCAAAGAGCGTCAGAGACTCATGCATACGGTTCTGCAGAGAAGAGAGAGAAAAAATTTAATCAAACACATTTGAATTTTTTCAGACTGCATAATTAGCATGAGAGTTTAAACTCTCTTTAAAAAAAAAAAATTCTCATTATATTACAGTATATTATATTATTGTCACAGAGTCAACAACACCCACAGGACCAGACCCCTACACTCCACCCACTCGTTCACAGTCACCAGAGTTCTGCACCTGCACCTGTCACATCAGCACAGACTATATAAACCGCTCACCTCAGTTCACTGTTGTCTGGTCTCGTTGTTCCTACCTGAATGCTACCCGACCACTTACTTGCATGGACTTACCCTCTTGCGTCCGATATTCATCTGCATTCAACCTCCGAACCCATCTCACCAACACCAGTTCACCCAAACCTGCAAAGATAAGACTGTTATTCACTGAAATACCTCAGCATTGGTCTGTTGACCAATCACTCACCTGCTATCCATGTGTATCTGTCAAAACCAAACTACCACCACATCGGCCATGAGACTGTGTGATCGATCTGCTGCCATTTCCACATGCTAAAAAGTCATTGGCCATGGGACTGTGTGATCGATCTGCTGCCATTTCCACGTGGTAAAGTTCAATGTACCCGTTGTCCATCTCGGAACAAAAGGCAATGGAGGAGTATATCGAGTAGGCTCTCAAGCAAGAATTCATCCGTCCATCCACTTCCCTGCCGCTTCAAGTTTCTACTTTGTGGGAAAGAAGGACGGAGGCTTGCAACCCTGCATTGACTACCATGCTCTCAACTCTCAGATGGTTATGTTCCGGTACCCTCTTCTTCTGGTCCCAGCAGCACTGGAGCAGTTACAGGGAGCTCGCATCTTCACGAAGTTGGACCTGCAGGCCACTACGAATATCTCGTTATGCCGTACAGACTGTCCAACTCACCCTCAGTCTTCCAGGGATTTATGAACGAGGTGTTCCGGGAATTCCTTCATTGTTTCGTCATTGTTTACATTGATGATATCCTCATCTATTCCTGGAACCAGGCCAAACATCGCCAACACGTGACGCAAGTCCTCCAGAAACTTCAATAATTCCACCAGTACCTCAAGCTCGAGAAATGCATGTTCCACTGTAACACTATCCATTACCTTGGCTATGTCATCGACCAACACGGCATCCGCATGGATCAGAGGATGGTACAGGCAGTTGAGAATTGGGCACAACCCATATCCATCAAGGAACTACAACGCTTCTTGGGGTTTGCAAACTTCTACAGGAGGTTCATCAACAACTTCAGTAAGATTTGCTCACCTCTAACATCCTTGCTGAAACATGGGGCCAAGTCTCTGTCCTGGAACTCTGAAGCATCCAATGCCTTCAACCAGCTCAAGAAAGCATTCTGTGCCTCTCCTACCCTAGTGCATCCCAATCCAGAACCGCCCTTTGTCGTCAAAGTTGATGGATCCACCACCGGGGTAGGAGCCATATTGTCTCAGCGGCAGGGTGAGCATCCCAAACTCCATCCATGTGCCTTTTTCTCTAAGAAGCTGTCCCCGGCAGAGCACAACTATGACATCGGTAACCGCAAAATGCTGGCCATCAAACTTGTCTTAGAAGAGTGGCGCCTTTGGCTGGAGGGAGCTAAACATCCTTTTGAGGTCAGCACTGACCACCGTAATCTTGAGTATCTCCTGGAAGCCAAAAGATTAAACACCTGTCAAGCTTGTTGGTCTCTTCTTCACCAGATTCAATTTCACTGTGACTTACCGGCCAGGGAGTAAGAACCAGAAAGTGGACGCTCCGTCCAGTGTCTACCACCCTGAGTCAGAGACAACAACTCCTAAACCCATTCTCCCTGCAGTCATCATTGTCAGCCCGATTGAGTGGTCCATTGATGACCAGATCGTGGAAGCCATGCGATCTGAATCTGCTCCACCGGGAGGTCCTGAGGGACAGATCTATGTGCCAACTCATCTCCGTCTGTCCCTCATGGACTCAGCAGATACATCACCGGGCTCTGGACACCCAGGCAGACAGCAAACCCTCTCGCTCATCAGCAATCGGTACTGGTGGCCCAATATGGCCCAGGACATCTCCTGGTTCATCCAAGGATGCTCAGTCTGTGCCAAGGTCCCTCGCCACCTACCTGAGGGAAAGCTGGTCTCCCTTCCTGTACCTTATAGGCCATGTTCACACATTGGAGTTAATTTCATCACTGACTTACCTTCTTTGGATTCTCACACGTGTCCTCTTCATTGTAGACCGTTTCTCCAAAGCGTGCAAGTTGATTGCTTTGAAAAGACTACCCAAACCCTCTTCCAGCAAGTCTTTTGTCATTTTGGGATCCCCGAAGATATCGTCTTCGTCCGCGGACCTCAATTCATCTCCCGAGTGTGGAACGCCTTTTTCCAGTTACTCTGAGTCACCGTCAGCTTAACATCGGGATATCATCTGCAGTCCAACGGCCAGAATGAGAGAAAGATACAAGAAATCGGGAGATACCTGCGGTCATATTGTCATGAACAACAAGACAGCTGGAGCTGTTACCTTCCATGGGCCGAGTATGCACAGAACTCCCTGCTTCAAGCCACCACCGGATTAACACCCTTTTAGTGCATACTTGGCTACCAACTGCCCCTGTTTCCCTGGTCAGGTGAGCCTTCTGATGTTCCAGCTGTCCACCATTGGTTCCAGGAGAGCGAGAGAGTTTGGGACTCAGCTCACATCCACATGCAGAGGGCAGTTCAGAGACACAAGAGCCAGGCCGACGCTAGAAGATCAGTGACACCCTAGTATCATCCAGGGCAGGAGGTCTGGCTCTCAACCAGGGACATCTGTCTTCGACTGCCCTGTCGTAAGCTAAGTCCCCACTATGTCATTCCATTCACAATCCAGAGGCAGATCAATGAATTCACATACAGGCTAAACCTTCCTCCTCACTACGGAATATCACCTTCTTTTCATGTATCCCTGTTGAAACCATATACTAATCCTCTGCTTGCTTCCTCTCCAGGGTCTGGTGCTGGTGACGTGCCTCCTCCTCCTCCAATGGATCCTTCAGAGGAGAATATCTACAGAGTCAACACCATCCTAGACTCCCGACGACGGGGTGGTCACCTAGAGTACTTCGTAGACTGTGAGGGGTTCGGCCCAGAGGAAAGATCTTGGGTTGCCCCTTTGATGACATACTAGACCCATCTCTGCTACTTGAATTCCACACGTATCACACCGACTGTCCAGCACCGAGAGGCAGAGGCCACCCCCATCATTGTCGAGCTGCCCTTAGAGGGGGGGTTCTGTCACAGAATCAACAACACCCACAGCACCAGACCCCTACACTCCATCCACTCGTTCACAGTCACCGGAGTTTT